CTCCCTACTGTGCGACTCTGGCTGAGTTGCACTTTAACTGGAGCTTAGAAACTGGAAACAAAAGGACGTCTGCAGACTACAGGGTGTTCCAAGAACTGGAAAGCCCGGGGAAAACCAAACGAGGGAGCAGCCGATAAACAAAGAACACGATTCCTGCCAGCAAGAAAGTATTAAACCTGACACACAGCTCAACATCAAGTCCACAGCACGCCAAGAGGGAGAAGGGAGATGCTCACAGCGGGTGTGCCCTCCTGGTAAGAAGCTTTCTGGAAACCCACACTGAATGCAAACTCAGCACGCTGACTCCTGGTAATACCTGCTGCCAAACGCTGCCCTGGGGAGGGGGCAGGTACCCAACACAGTGCGAGAATACTGAGGAGGAGAGACGAGACTCTTCCAAGGAGGCAGCCCCTGAGGGGAGGGAGCGATGCACAGACCATCCTGCCTGCCCATGCAAGCAGTGGAAAAGAACCTGACTGAACCACATTGTGAACCATGGGCTTAAAATCCTCAGGAAAGTGACAGCCACGTGCAGCCCCACGTTGCCAATATGCCTGGACTTCCACGGCTGTGGCTGTTGAGAAGCGTTACCTAGATCCTCACTGCGAGCAAAGTGCCTCTCCCGCTCCGGGCCAGTGGTGCTGCGTGGAAGGGGGCGGGGGCAGGGGGCAGGGAGAGCGCTGAGGCCTGGCTGCTCTTACTCCATCAAGGAGCAGCCGCATCTTTCCAGGTGGAGGCTACCTGGGGCCACACCTATTTATCATTTTATTTACTTTCATTTTGTTGAAAGGGAGAGAGAGATCTTCCATCCATTGGTTCACTCCCCAAATACCCACAACAGCTAGGCCTGGGCCAGGCCAAAACCAGGGACCTGGAGTTCAGTCCAGGTCTCCCGTGTGGGTGGCAGTAACCCAGCTGCTTGAGCCCTCATCTGCTGACTCCCAGTGTACACATTCGCAAGAAGCTGCAATTGCAAGGAGAGCCAGGACTCGAACCCAGGCATTCCCATGAGGGATTGTGAAAATTCCAAGGGGCGGTGCCGGCGCCATGGCTCACTTGGTTAATCCTCTGCCTGCGGCGCCAGCATCCCATATGGGTGCTGGGTTCTAGTCCCGGTTGCTCCTCTTCCAGTCCAGCTCTCTGCTGTGGCCCGGGAGGGCAGTGGAGGATGGCCCAAGTGCTTGGGCCCTGCACCCGCATGGGAGACCAGGAGAAAGCATCTGGCTCCTGGCTTCAGATTGGCACAGCTCTGGCCGGAGTGGCCATTTGGGGAGTGAACCAACGGAAGGAAGACCTTTTTCTCTCTATCTCTCACTGTCTATAACTCTGTCAAATAAATTAAAAAAAAATTTCTTTTTTGATGGGCCAGTACTGTGGAGCAGAGCACCGGTTCTAGCCCCGGCTGCTCCTCTTTCGATCCAGCTCTCTGCTGTGGCCTGGGAAAGCAGTACAAGATGGTCCAAGTCCTTGGGCCCCTGCAACCGCATGGGAGACCCGGAAGAAGCTCCTGGCTCCTGGCTTTGGATCGGCACAGCTCCAGCTGTTGCAGCCATCTGGGGAGTGAACCAGCGGATGGAAGACCTCTCTCTCTCTCTCTCTCTCTGCCTCTGTCTGTAACTCTGTCTTTCAAATAAATAAAAATAAATCTTTTAAAAAAAATTTTTTTTGAAATTCAGTTTTTCATAATATGCATTTTCTATGAACTTCCTGAAGACTCTCCTCACAAGCATAGATTTCAAAATTTTCTTGCATCAAAATAAACATCTTTTATTTCCATTTTTTATGAACTTTCTAAAATGGCCTAGTATATGAGCTTACAACAAAAATGGAAAGATACAACACAACACTAAAAACAAGATCTACTGGGGCCTGAGTTGTGGTACAGTAGATTAAGCCATGGCTTACAACGTCGACATCCCATCTCTGAGCAATGGTTTCAGTCCCGGCTGCTCCGCTTCCAATCCAGCTCCCTGCCCACGTGTCTAGGAAAGCAGTGGAGGACAGTGTAGGTCCTTGGCCCCTACCACTCAAGTGCGAGACCCAGATGGTGTCCCAGGTTCCTGGCTTCAGTCTAACCCAGCCCTGGCCTCTGCAGCCATTTGGTGAGGGAAGCAGTAGATGGAAGAAATCGCTTGCTCACTCACTCACTCTCTAACTCTGCCTCTCATCATCCTCCACGGCTTTGCCAGGCCATCAGCAGGGAGCTGGATCAGAAGTGGAGCAGCCAGGACTCAAAGCGGTATCCATATGGGATGTCAGCACTGCAGGTGGAAGTTTACTATGCCACAGTGCCAGCTCCTCAAATAAACAAATCTTTACAAAAATGACTCCACTGGGGAGAAGTGGCACAATTTAGGCATCTACAGGAATAACAACTGTAACAGATTAAACATGATATGTTTCAATTCAACAACTGTTGGTCACTTTCAGAGTGACTGTCAAACCATATGGTTATTTGAGAACTGATTAACAGCAAAGAAACCAGACATTCATCCTGCCTCTTCTAGGTGAACTATCCCTTACTGTAACCAAACAGTAATTTTTGGAAGACTGTCTCTACAAAAATATTTCAGTGAATCCATTAAAAGTAAATGACAAGGCCGGCGCCGCGGCTCACTAGGCTAATCCTTCGCCTTGTGGTGCCGGCACACCAGGTTCTAATCCTGGTCGGGGTGCCGGATTCTGTCCCGGTTGCCCCTCTTCCAGGCCAGCTCTCTGCTGTGGCCCGGGAGTGCAGTGGAGGATGGCCCAAGTGCTTGGGCCCTGCACCCCATGGGAGACCAGGAAAAGCACCTGGCTCCTGCCTTCGGATTGGTGTGGTGCACTGGCCGCGGCACGCGGGCGGCAGTGGCCATTGGAGGGTGAACCAACGGCAAAAGGAAGACCTTTCTCTCTCTCTCTCTCTCTCACTGTCCACTCTGCCAAAAGAAAAAAAAAGAGTAAATGACAAAATGAGACTGCCACCATTGTCACTCTCTCCCAGCAAGTCCAACACAAAAGTACACACTACTGCCTTGGAGTGCCCGCGCTGGCCGGCTGAGCGGGAGCATGGCCAGACCCCGGCACCCATCCCCTCCACAGGGAGCATGGCCAGACCCCGGCACCCATCCCCTCCACAGGGAGCATGGCCAGACCCCGGCACCCATCCTCTGACTACGGGACCATCAGCCTGGTTCTTCCCACACACAAAATGCAAGCAGGACAGGGATTGGGAGGAGGATCCTAATGATCCGGAGAGACTCAAAGATACTTCACAGTTTATTTTAAACGAAGTTGAATGAATGAATGAATAAATAAAACAAAAACCTGAGATTACAGGCCGGCGCCGCGGCTCACTAGGCTAATCCTCCGCCTAGCGGCGCCGGCACACCGGGTTCTAGTCCCGGTTGGGGCGCCGGATTCTGTCCCGGTTGCCCCCCTTCCAGGCCAGCTCTCTGCTGTGGCCAGGGAGTGCAGTGGAGGATGGCCCAAGTGCTTGGGCCCTGCACCCCATGGGAGACCAGGAAAAGCACCTGGCTCCTGGCTCCTGCCATAGGATCAGCTCGGTGCACCGGCCGCAGCGCACCGGGACGCGGCAGCCATTGGAGGGTGAACCAACGGCAAAGGAAGACCTTTCTCTCTGTCTTTCTCTCTCACTGTCCACTCTGCCTGTCCAAAAAAAAAAAAAAAAAAAAAACCTGAGATTACAGAGGAAAATTGAATGATACTATTATGAAACTGATTAAAATGAAATTTACCGGGGCCTGTGCCATGGCATAGTAGGTTAAGCCTCTACCTGCAGCGCTGGAATTACATACAGGTGCTGATTTGAGTCCAGCTGCTCAACCTCCCATCCAGTTCCCTGCTATGGCCTGGGATAGCAGCAGCAGATGGCCCAAGTGCTTGGGCCCCTGCCCCCAATGTGGGAGACCTGGAGGAAGCTCCTGGCTCCCAGCTCCCGGCTCCGGACTGGCCCAGCTCTGGCCACTGTAGCCATTTGGGGAGGGAACCAGCAGATAGAAGACCTTTCTTTCTGTAACTCTGCCTTTCAAATGAAATAAATACAAATCTTTAAAAAATGAAATGTAACGACGTTTTTTTTCATGGTTTCAATTTATGAAACATTGTCATGTATTATTTTCACTTTAGACGTAAATATTTCAAACTGTTTTTATATTCGTCCTAATATTCTAATATATTAAACAGTTGCTAATTTCAAGTACAAAATATCAATCACAAATTAGAGATTAAACACAGGGTACTGTTTCTTTTCAAACTCCTGGAGAAAGATGTTTGAGGAGTGAAGAGTTCACAAAGCAACAGGAGTGGGCCAGCCCTCCCCAAACCCCGCAGCCGTCCTGCAGCAGGGCCCTTCCTGAGAGCCGTCCCACGGCAGGCCTATGCAGCAGGGGTGCCTGCCACGCCTCCTGGTTTTCGGCTTTATTCCATCATTGCCGAGCTGTCAGGTGTGATGCCCCTTATTCTCAAAGTTTAACGCTCATTTTAAAAAGTAATAAAAATAAGGGCAGACACAAACCACAACACAGTGCCACGTACATAACAAGATGCTGAAAGACATCTGAGGAAGAATGAAACTGCTAAGCGAAAAATGAGTAAGTTCAAGATACTTTTTTTTTAAATTCCATTTTATTCATTTATTTTTTAATATGTATTTATTTGAAAGGTAGAGTTAGAGAGCGGGAGATACGAAGGTTGGACTAGGCCAAAGCTAGGATCCTGAATCTCCATTTGGGTCTCCCATGAGGCTGGCAGGGACCCAAGCACTTGGGCCACCTTCCACAGCTTTTCGAGGTGCACTAGCAGGCAGCTGGAAGGAAATAAAGCAGCCGGGACCGGAACGGGCTCTCCTAGGATACCCAGCATCACAGCCGGCAGCGCACCCCACTGCTGCACGGAGTACGCCCTAGTTCAGGATGCTTCCCAATGTAACGACTATGTTTATGCAACGTGAAACAGTGACAGGTGAAGCAAGAAATCTATGCAGACTTTTCAGTGCCTACCTGTGTGTCATACACTGTCAGATGTGTCGAAGCTTGATCAGGGAGAGACTTCAATACAGAAAGAAGTGAAGCTGTGTCAACCTTATGCTTCCTCAAAAAATGTAGTGGACTTCCTTACCTAGGAATTAATAATAATAATTGGTTAACTCTAATATGGAAAATTTCTAAAGCTTTTAAAAATAGAATTTCAGGAATACAAATTTCTATAAAATGACCAAGCAACAAGATACGTATTTTTTAATATTCATTTATTTACTTGAAAGTCAGAATTACAGAGAGAAAAGGACACACACAGATATATCTTCCACCCAGTGGTTCACTCCCAAGATGGCTGCAATAGCCAAGGCTGGACCAGGCCATTAGCTAGAGGTGGATTGGAAGTAGAGCAGCTGGGACTCAAATTGGCACCCATATGCAATGCTGGTGTTGCAGGCAGTGGCTTAACCAGCTATGCCAGGACACTGGACCCAAGATACATATTTTTAACAACTTTGTAAGCATGGAGGTTTTATTTTTTTTATTTATTTATTTTATTTATTTATTTTTTTTTTGACAGGCAGAGTGGACAGTGAGAGAGAGAGACAGAGAGAAAAGTCTTCCTTTGCCGTTGGTTCACCCTCCAATGGCCGCCGCGGCCGGCACGCTATGGCTGGCGCACCGCGCTGATCCGAAGGCAGGAGCCAGGTGCTTTTCCTGGTCTCCCATGGGGTGCAGGGCCCAAGTACTTGGGCCATCCTCCACTGCACTCCCTGGCCACTGCAGAGAGCTGGCCTATTTACCTGAAAGTCAGAGAGTTACACAGAGAGAGAAGGAGAGGCAGAGAGAGAGAGAGATCTGCCATCTGCTGGTTCACTCTCCAGTTAGCCGCAACGACTGGATCTGTGCCGATCCGAAGCCAGGAGCCAGCAGCTTCTTCCAGGTCTCCCACACGGGTGCAGGGGCCCAAGCACTTGGGCCATCCTCTACTGCTTTCCCAGGCCACAGCAGAGAGCTGAATTGGAAGTGGAGCAGCCTGGACTCGAACTGGTGCCCATATGGGATGCAGGCACTGCAGGTGCTGGCCTCAGGTTTTGGTTTCCTACAATTTGTAAGTAGGAAACCAAAGTCTGTGGTTATTTTTATTTTAAGTGACTTTTACCATGAAGTATTTTGTACATAAAGGACAGGAAATATGTATCGACAATTTCATAGGGTTATTACACAAGGACTAGTCCAATTCACCCAGGCCAAGGATCCGGGGCTTTGCTAAACTCTAGACAGGCTGGGTGGGTTCCCACTCTCTGATCTTAACCCTTCCTTGCCAAAAGGAACGAGCATCTTAATTTTTATGATTTCATTTTCTGCTTTATGGGTTTGTGGTTTTTTGTTTTGTTTTTTAGATTTTATTTATTTATTTGAGAGGTAGAATTTCAGAGAGAAAGGTCTTCCATCCGCCAGTTCACTCCCCAAATGGCTGCAATGGCTAGAGCTGAGCCCATCTGAGGCCAGGGGCCAGGAGCTTCTTCTGGGTCTCCCACGTGGATGCAGGGATCCAAGCACTTGGGCCATCCTCCATTGCTTTCCCAGGCCATAATCAGAGAACTGGATCGGAAGTAGAACAGCTGGGATACGAATCAGTGCCCATTATGGGATGCCGGCACTGCAGGCGGAGGCTCAGCCTAGTATGCCCCAGCACTGGCCTCGTGCTTTTCAACAGACACTGACCACAGAGGCATGAAGCCCTAATAGACACAGTTCATTTTTGCATGCTTCTGAACTTCACATGAATAGAATCTTATTGTAAATACTTTCTGTTGCTCTTCTGCACTACTCCTGCACGTAGCTTACTGTCACTGCTATGAAACATCCCATTGTGTACCTACAGCACAAACATTCTTTCTACTATTCCTTGGGTAGCATCTGCTTCGAAGCAAGACGGACACTGTGAAGACCATTCTGGTACAGCTGTGTCAAGCGTGCACGGATTTCTCTGGAGCATACACCTAGGAGTGCCATTGCTGGCAGGTGGAGCCAAACGATCTTCCAAAACAGTTGTAACAATTTACACTCCCAGAAGGGTTCAACTTTTTCTATAAGACTTATCAGAGGCCGGTGCCACAGCTCACTAGGCTAATCCTCTGCCTTGCGGCACTGGCACACCGGGTTCTAGTCCCGGTTGGGGCGCCGGATTCTGTCCCGGTTGCTCCTCTTCCAGCTCTCTGCTGTGGCCAGGGAGTGCAGTGGAGGATGGCCCAAGTGCTTGGGCCCTGCACCCCATGGAGACCAGGATAAGTACCTGGCTCCTGCCATCGGATCAGCGCGGTGTGCCGGCTGCAGCGCACCGGCCGCGGCGGCCATTGGAGGGTGAACCAACGGCAAAGGAAGACCTTTCTCTCTCTCTCTCTCTCACTGTCCACACACACAAAAAAAAAAAAAAAAAAAAAAAAATTATCAGACTTTTTTTTTTTTTTTAAGACTTATCAGACTTTTTAATCCTTGCTAACTGCAAAATGTTTATCTGACAATCACTGTGATGGAGATTTAATTCTGCACGCATTTATTCACTTTTCCCATGGCTCCTGCACCCCAGTTTCTCTCCAGGTACAACATCCCATTCTCAGTCCACCAGCTGCCCAGAGACACTGATGCCAACCTCTGGTTATGGGGAAGCATGCATCACGGGCCTGCCTGATCAGAGCACCCTGCTCCCCTGGTCAGAGCTGCTTCATCTCTGAACACAAAATTGAGGTCAGAATTCATGAAACCTTCTCTTCCCACTCTGGGACTATTCCTCCAAGGAACTTGAACGTGAACACACAGAAGTCGGCCCAGGGCCAGTGCTGTGGTGTAGTGCACCAAGTCTCCGCCTGCAGTGCTGGCATCTGAAGATCTCTCTCCCTGTACCTCTATATTTCAAATAAATAAATCTTTTTTAAAAACGTATATTTTCTCTGATACTAATACCATCCTACCTTTGGCTATTATTTGCATAATTTATTTTTCTTCATCATTTGACTTTCAACATTTCTGAATCCTATGTTCCAGATAGGTTTCTTATGAACAGTACAGGGCTGAAATGCTTAAACCCACAATTCAATGTCTTTGTCTCTGAACTGGAACCTTGAATTCATTCACATCGGAGTGACTGCTCATATTTAGATTTAATATACTATTTTACTCAAGAGCTTTCTATCTCTTTATTTTGGATTAGTTATCATTCAAGTACCTGCTCTGTACTCACATGCAAGTTACATATTCTGCTTCTGTTCTTTTAGTAATTATTTAAAAATTTTTTTTTATTTTGAAAGAGTGAGAGAGAGGGAGGGAGGGACAAAAAGAGGTGTGAGAGAAAGCACTTCCATCCACCCACTGGTTTACTTCCAAAGATGCCTGCAATGACCACGACCAGGCCAGGAAAGCCAGGAGCTCCATCCAGGTCTCTCACACTGGTGGCAGAGACCCAACTACATGAGCCATCACCAATACCTTCCAGGAGGAAGCTGGAATCAGGAGCGGAAGCCAAGTATCAAACCCAGGTATTCCAGTGTGGGACACAGGTGTCTTAACTGGCATCTTAACCAGTAAGCTAAATGCCTGCTCTGAGGAAAGTATTTTAACCACAAATCAATTTCTTTGATAAATTCAAGGGGTCTTTTTTTAAAAAAGAATTTATTTATTTATTTGAAAGGCAGAGTTACAGAGAGAGAAGGAGAGACAGATCTTCCATCTGCTGGTTCACTCCCTCAGTGACCACAATGACCACAGCTAAGCCAGGCCAAATCTAAGAGCCAGGAGCTTCTTCTGGGTCTCCCACGTTGGTGTAGGGGCCCAGGGACTTGGGCCACCTTCCACTGCTTTCCCAGGCCACAGCAGAGAGCTGGATAGGAAGAGGAGCAGTCAGGACTCGAACTGGCACCAATACGGGATGCCAGCACTGCAGGCTGCGGTTTAACCTGCTGCGTCACAGCGCTGACCCCGCAAGGAGTCTTCAGAAAGTCCAAGGAAACACATTATGAAATGATTATGCATGACTTCAAAACTGTTCTGCATCAAATAAATTTACCTTTAAATTTCATTTGTCCACTGAATGAAAAAAATGAAAACGAAAATTTTCATTTTCAACGTGCGAACTCAACCTCACAGAGAGCTATGTAGACTATCTCCTCTTGGGAGAGCCTTGGTAGTTTGTGTTAAGTTGTCAAAAAAATTTTTTACGATTTATTTATTTAAAAATCAGAGTGACAAAAAGAAAGAAATCTGTATCCATTTTTCACTCCTCAAATGGCTACAACAGCCAAGAGTCAGGAACTCCATCCATCCTGGTCTCCTAAGTGGGTGAAGGGCCCAAAGTAGCTGGGCCACATCCCACTGCCTTCCCAGGCACATTAGCAGGAAGCTGGATCTGAAGCAGGGAAGCCAGGCACAAATCTGCATTCTAACATGGGACAGCAGCTGTGCCACAACACTGGCTCCGAGGCGTCAAATTCACGGACATAAAACTTCCCGTAAGTTCCTCATCATCCTCTCAATATCTATGACCTGTAACGAAGTCCCAGATACTGGAAAGTAATGTTTCTTGTTTCTTCCCTGATAAACTTTTTAGATAATTTACATCCTTCTCTTCAGGTAGATTTTATCACTTCCAGTGTAGGATCTGGAAGCACTTCCATTTATTCCTTCTCTTTGTCTGGGATGGTTGTTTGTTTACCAGATGTCTGCTGTTACGAGTCTCTCAATTCTTCTGCACTGTGTCTTCTTTCCCTCTGCTGAGACTCTGTCACTTTATCACTGATTTTTAGCAATCTAACTATTGGTATGGTTTTCTTTATGTCTACTCTGGTACTATTTTGGGTTTTGTCTTATTGCAATTTTTCGCCAAATTTGGATATTACGCAGTCATTATTTCTTCAAATATTGTTTCCATTAGCTCTTCTTCTTCTTAATCTCCAGTTATGCATGTTTTAGATAAGCTGCTTGTGTCCCCACAGGTCACCAATGCTGTCATTTTGTTGTCTTTATTCTTTATGCTGTATTCTGGATGGTTTCTATGGCTCAACCTTGAAGTACACTAATCTTGTCTTCAGTAGCACTAATATGCTGTTGTTTTCACTACCATTGTTTTTACCTCTAAAAGTTCTA